CCTGAGGTTGGTGAAGGGACGTGGGAATGGGTGGTTAGCTGGTACACACTCATCTCAGTTCTCCATTTACCTTAAAATTTCCTGGGGACTGAGAGTCCTTGTTAAAATGTGGATTCTTGGTCCACATCCTACATTTATGGACTCAGAATCTTTGGAGGGAAGCTCAGGAATCTGCCTGTAAACAAATATACAAGATACTTCCTGGCCCATCTGGGACCCATCTGTATGTCCCCTAGAAGCAGGATCCCTGCCCCGTTTAGAGAATCTACTTTTCTTTCCCTCTTTTATTCATTTTTGCCTTCTCACTCAATTAGCATTTAATTAATCATTCTGTATTTGATCATTTCTGGGAAGTTATCTGCTTTTGAGTAATAGGCTTTTGGGTTTAAGATATAAAGAATAAGCTTTCAACTTGTACAGCTGCCAGTAAATTTACTGGGCATTTCACTGCCATTGCTTTTTCAAAACTAGGTTTAGGACCATGTTTTTATCTGTGGAGTGAAGGTATCAGAAGGAATGGAAGTTTCAAATGTTTGTGACACAAATGCGGGCTTGGGGAGAGAGAAATAATAACTCGGCATAGGCTACTTCTCTGATGATCAAAACATCATTTCAAGTGCTGGTTCCCCACAGCTTTGCCAGGGAGCCTTTCCTTACACACCAGAGAAAAACACTTCCCAGGGTTTCTTCAGCGCCAACAGCAAGTTCAGTGTTGACATTGTTTTGAATTCCCAAAGCATGCAAATTGTCCCATTAATTTACACGGCCATTTTGAAATGAGAAATATGTTATTTTTTTCTAAGCATTTCAAAGCTACAATTTTTACTGGGCTATCAGAAGTAGGACTTGATAAAATCCTCTTTCTCTTTTAACATGATGGTGAATATGGGGGCAATGGAATGGGAGGTGTTTGCAGGCATATGTCTACCCATGTGCACACAGCTTTCTCAAAAAATCCCGTATGCAATAAATACAAGAAAATATGCACACTTTTAAAAGTAACAAAAACAAATCAATGATTGCCTCAGGGTGGAGGATGGGGAAGGATTAGACAGGGGTGGGGGGGATAGATATGCTCGTTATTAAGATTGAGGTGGTGTTAAGTGTGTATACATATGTCAAAAACTAACAAGTTGTACAGTTCAAATATGTGAATTATATGCCAGTTATACCTTAATAAAGCTTAGAAAAATTGAAATAACACAACAACAACAACAAAACTCTAGCTACCTTTTTAATTACTAGAAACTAACTGGATGAGAATAAATTAGGGAGAGTGGGTGCCAAAGGTAATAGAATACTTTTAGCATTATTCTTTCTTTAACAGCACTAAGACATTCAGTTGCTTACCTTATTAAAAGTGTTAGAAGAAACAGGTGGAACTCAAATAAGATTGTACCTTATTTTATGAAAACTTAATATTCCTTTCTCTACAATTTCCCTAACTTATATCTGGAAGAAAGGAATGACCAAAAATAATTTTTTTTTGCAGAGAATAAGAACATTCTTTGTTTTATGTTTTTTCCCTACCAATCTGGAGATACCAAAGTAACTAAATAAAATGTATTTATGGGGTAATTTTTACTCCATGAAAAATTAATGTTCAGTGGAGGATAAATGGTTTCCAGTATAGAATGACTCTGAAACTGTGCATACTGTATATTTTACAAACATTTAATGACACAGTGCAAAAGAACATACATGTGTATCCATACCCGTCACTGAGTTAGAATCAGAGCGCTGGGAGAATGCATCAATTCAGATATTGTTTTGGAAAACAAAAGGATGTATATGACAGGTAAGTGCTTTTCCACTTGAGACAACTGTAATTTGCCTCAATCAGGAAGTCTCATTTATTTAAGATGTTGGGCATGTTGGTTAATTATAGCAACTCTTAGGGAATTCTTTCTTTAGATCTCATTTTGGAAGAATTAAAGCTAAACCATTCTTAAACAATTTGCCATTTTCTCTAAGAGTGAAGGCTGCAAAAAGGTCTTACAATTCAGTAACAAAAGTAGGCTCTTAAAATTGTGCAATAAAGTTAAACTCAAGTTCAGTTTAACAAAATGATTCACATAATATACAGTTTAAACATTAATTTGACAAAAGAAATTCAATTAAGACTTAGAGAAGCTAATACTGGTTTGATAAGAAATATTTCTAAATGACTGAGAAGCTTTTTGAAAAAACAAACAAAAACCTTTAACTTTAATTCCATGTATACATTTTTTCCCCTTTCCTCAAAAGAACATTTCTAAAGCACAAAATAGATTCATAATGTTTTAATAAGATACATTTTATATATCCTGAACATAATGGCTCCCATAGAAATAAACTAATATTTTGTACAGAAATTTATTTACTGTGCCACATTCATAATATACTGAGCAGAGTGCAAACACTTATTACACCCCCTGGGGTGTGAGGAGCTCTGTTCCTGCAAATACCTCATTATTAAGGATGACAGAGAACAAGATGGATAATTAAGATTCACAAGGTTATAACAAAAATGTACTTTAGATTATGATTATAAACTCTTCTCCAGTCACAGCTGTAACCAATACTCAGCAAAACAGTTTAATCACATTTTCCTCCCTAAATCCAACCCCCATCCCACTGCTCCTTAGGGCAGGATCTAATAATTGATTAGTGTAGTCTCTGAAAGGCATGGGGATGGAATAATCAAGAAGAGGAAGAGGGTTAGAAAACTGACAATCTGGCATGTTTTGTATTGAAAAATCTCGTCTCTTAGCCAGAAAATTATATATATTTTTTCACATACAATTAATATGTACTATTAAAAGGTATTTAAAGTGAGGTCTTTAAAAAAAAAAATTGCCTGGGAATTATGGGGTAGGTATTTTAAAGCAATTCATAAAAATAATGACTTCATTTTTTAAAAAAACCAGTAAAATCACAGCAAAATCAGAGAAAAAATGTGCACCCTGGGTGGCAGCACATGAAACCGATTCATTTCTGGTTGATTTTTACAAGCTTGAATGTGTGCTATCGATCTGTCTACAGAATCATTGTCACTTATTACTGCTCTTCTTTGTGACCATCTCAAGACGAAGAAGCTTAGGAATAAACCATGGGAGAAACATACAGTCATATCCAGACCTTCTCTATTCTAGAGCATTTTAGAGAATAACAATTAAGAAAGTGCCTCTGAAATAAAAAGGTTTAAATAAAATTCTAAGGAATACATCAGGTCTTATCAAGTGAATGGTCTAACAGTCTACCCTTTGGTTGTTTAGTCTTGAAAGCCCAAATACTATGTAGATGAACATTTCAACAGATAAATTCTATAATTTTATAATTGCCATGTCAATAACAAGTAAAACGGAAAAGGGGGAGAGACCATCGCATCACTATTCCATGGGGGACAACAGTGAGTTGGTATTGAAGGAGTAGTATCTAAAACTTAACTGGTCACTGGAATAGAAATAAACAGGATAGATATCTGAATCCCAAAAGAGATTCTAGATCTGGGATATTATAAAAATGTGGTGATTTTAATTAACTTGACATTTTTCTCATTCTCATCTTGAAATCCTAATCAGAGTTTCAGGTTGGCTCTGACCAACATTCACACACCTGATTTGTAGCATGAATTTATTATCCAGTAAAAAGTCTCTCTACTACTTTTTCTTATTCTCCATTATAACCCAAATGCTAGGTACAGTAGCTACTTCCCTCATGGGTCCTGGGTCCTTGTCTAGCTGGTTGACTGACACCAGTCATCTTTCACCTGAAGCCTCACTTTCTTACTTCTCTGCCTGTGATATCTTTACTTGGCAGAATTCTTTTCTTATTTTTAGGCTATTTTGGGACCGTTCAGGGAAGTGCTAGTAAGTACCTACCAGAATCAATGAAAGCAGTATCTAAAGCTTTACCAAGGATGGAGAACAGGTTTCTGTGAGGAAGTCAAGGATTCTAATTAAATTTTAATTAAAATTAAAGGCATGTGTCTTGGGATGCAAATAAAAAGATGACAAGATGAATGACCAGAGAAAGAATCAATATCACAGGGGGAGATTTTATTACTACAGGGAATGAAAGGAATGTGGAGGGTGTTGTTCAAGTGGAATGCTGAAATCTGGAGATGGATTAGGGAAGTTATCTGAGAATGAAATTCCATTCTAAACTAACGTAACCCGTGCACATAATGTGTCTACTCAGACACAAGGAGGCATGAGTTTTAGGATAATTAAAATATTGCTCTATTTAGTGTAAACTTTCAAGTTTTCCCGTACACTCTTCTCAGGAGTTTTTTATTTAATGGTGTATTAGCCGTTATTAGGAATGTTTTGCTGAAAAGAAATAACACTAAAACCAATACCTCACAATAAAATGTAAAATGTCCCTAACCTTGTCTTCAGAGTTTAAAATAACACTTAAATCCTGATGGTAAGAATCTAAGAATAAAAATCTAACTGAGAATAAAATATGTGTAATTTTATAAGTTTCTAGAAAAATCTCTAAAGAGATTTTTTTTTTAAAACATACAGGCATTTATATAGTCATTTACGTGCAGAAACTTAGGAATACTATGCAAATTTCTCACAGAAGCCTCTGTATATTAGTGGAGGAAAAACAAATTCTGAAGTATGCAAAACACATTTCTGCTTCCCCCTTTGAGATGGATAAATTTCTTAGTTATTTCTCTGCCAATAGCAAGGTAAATGCTTACTATGAAGTCATGTATCATATGGAATCACTTGATGAAAAACTGGAAGATGATTTTGCATAGAACTCATTGAAACAATGCAAATAAGCTCCTAGCATTCTTGCTTCTGTTCGCTAATGCCAGTGGAGTGGGTTTGGTGTTGAGATGTAGATTACATTGTGTTTCCCTCCAAAACAGGTACATTTATAGCTCTACTAAGCCCACATAGGATTCTATACACTTTTTGTGATTTCCGCTTAAGGTTTTAACACTGATGACAAATGTCCAAATCAAATATAGATTTTGCCAAATAATAGGGCACACTGTGAGGTTAGGTGGAAGAGGGAAAGTTTATTATCTGGACGCAGGACAGGAACTTAACGAGCAACGTGAACACAGAGATCTACTTAGCACACCTTTCCTTCTTGCCCTTCAGACATACCACATAGTAATGGACTTAGCAAAGTAAAGCACGCGTTGTTGTTCACTTTTAAAAATCCATTCAAGTTAGTCTCATAATTGTTCTGATCGAGAAAGTGAATCATGCTATGATTCAAAAAAAAATCTGTTCTTCACATAAACCTAAGAACACACGTTTAAAAAATGATTTATTGTACATCTTTGCATTTCTTAAGGCATGAACAATGGGATACAGATGGAACAGGTTCTGAGAAGCTTTATGTCTTTTTTGACAAGCCCAGCACAAGCACACCACATCAAACAGACACACCGGAAGTCTGCACTGACCGACTGCTGTGGCTCCCATGACAAGGGGATGGTGCTTCGAGACAACGGACCCACCACGAGGCTTGTATGCTGTTTTTAACTCTCTTGATCAACTTTAAGCACCGGTTACCATTTGTGTTTCTTTACAAACTCTTCAGACTTTGGATTTTATATTCTGCTCCTTTTATTCTGCTTTCCAAGGAGGGTATGGATTTTTTTAAGGAATATGGTTGCAGCAAAACAGAAAGGATCCAAAAGTGGTTAGGGGCCTTGTCTAATGCACTTCTGAAAGTCCATTATAAAGATGAATAGAAAAGCAAATGGTAGGTTTTCAGTCGACCCAGAAACCACGTGTAGCTATAAGAAACATAATTGTGCATAGTTATTTATTCATTCAGAGTGTGATATGTTGGCTAGCTCTACGTTCCCAGTTTACCAAAGAACAGGGCTGTCTACTTTGCTAAACCCAGGGTCCTTTCGAAGCTCCCAGTAGGTGTCATTAGAAACCCAAGCTTCTCTTTGATTGGCATCAATCACTTTTCTGTGAAAATATAAAAACCAACATCAGCCACAAATCACATCCAGGTGACCTTTTATTAGACCCTCCTATAGATTAGACATGTATATACATATAAGCAGTGCTTCGTAACCCAATTAGTGTCCTATCTGCTAACTCTTGATGCTTGGACTATTTTGGACTAGAAAAAAAAAACCTCATTTTTGATGTTAAGCATTTGAAATAGACGTAGGTAAAGTCACGGGAAGAGGAACTGAGGGCAGGAGCAAATCACCTCCAGGCAAAGGTAGAAAAACCAAGAGCCAGCCGGGCTCGGTGTCTCAGCCTATAATCCCAGTGCTTCGGGAGGCTGAGGTGAGTGGATTGTCTGAGCCCGTGGGTTCGAGATCTCATCTCTACAATAAATCAAAAATTAGCTGGGCGTGGTAGTGCACGCCTGTAGTTCCAGCTACTTGGAAGGCTGAGGCGGAAGAATTGCCGGAGCCCAGCAGGTCAAGGCTGTGGTGGCCCGGGAGCGGCCACTGCACTCCAGTCTGAATGACAGAGTGAGACTCCAACTTGGAAAAAAAAAAAAACAAAGAAAAGAAAACAATGAGCCCCCCTCCCCCAAAAGTATATGCAAATACTATAACTAAGAGTTTCAGGCTCCTGACCTTTAGAATAATTTCTCTCTCACTTGTAAGGAATAGTATGAAATATCAGTAGCTCTAAGAGTCTCTGCAGGACCCTTGTCCAAAGAGCACACTTTAGACATCTGAAGACAAGGCTGCATTTCTGCCCTGAGGTGGTTAGGAGATGGCAAGTATTAAGGATATGAGGTTACCCTGAGCTTTTTCCCTGGCTCTGGAGGGCAACAGATGGATTTGGAAACTTCAGATTAATCTGTGTGATGTATATATAATCCTGCAAATAATCCTGTAATAATCACCTACTATCATACCATAGCGAGGCCAAAGCTGAACAGACACAGGCTTCGTGTGATAGAAATAAAATTAAATCCTAACAAAGCCAGGATGATCTTGTGGGCATTGGGGTCCCATCAGTCTCTGGCTGAGGGAATGGGAACCAATTTGCACTGTTTTCAAGGGTTCAGCTGAAGGACAAAGAACCTTCTGAAAGAGACCCTCACTATCTTCTGTTGGCCACAAAAAGATAAGAGCCATGGAGAAGAATTTTTTTTATAGTTACTAACTTTTCACTCTGATTCAACTCTTACACTGCCAAAAGCTAAGCTACCAAAATCAGTTTGGTCTTTCTACCTTTAAGTTTCCTGAACACTAGGCTATTTCCCATTTTCTTTCAGTTTTCCTGGAGTTTCTCTCTGCTTGTGGCAACCATTTGCAAAACATGAACTTGTTATGGGATGAACTGACTTACTTAAAAAATTTTGGTATATGTTCGAGATTGTTTTCTTCCATGTATCGTCTTCGAGATCTCTGTAGTTCCTCCACTCTTTGCTTCTCGGCTGCTGCAGCCTCTAAATTTCCTTCTTCTAAAAATCTAAGCAGAAAGCAGTTGATATTTTAACATAATTATTCCTTTTTCTGAGAAAAAGTAATCTCAATTCCCCAAGATTACATTCTGGTTGCTGTGAACACAACATCCTGTACAGTTGCACTCTGGCAATGTTCCCTCACCTCTGCCCCAGGCCACACCACCTCTGCCTGTCCATCAATCTGCATACTTTCTGTGTATGTGAACTGAATTATTGTACAATAATTATATACAGTAATAATAAAAGGTGAGTGGTTTGGCCTTGAAGACATTTCAGTGTTGTCTGGGGTTCTACAACTTGAGATTTTCAGTTTTCAGTGTTAGAAGAGCATGAAGTCTGTGACAAGCTGTGCTCCTTTTCTGTGTTATCAAAAAGCACTTGTTAAAGGCCACAGACTGGAGGATGGTAACTGGCTGTTCTCCATCTATTTTGAGAACAGATTGAGAGGGAAGGAGCTTTCTTGTTTTATTAGAGAGTAAAACTGATGAAGATAAAAAAAAATCACAGTTGAGGAAAAGTATAAAAGGCCACAGAATAGGAGATAAATAGCACACGAAATTCAGAAAGGGAATATTGAAATGGAATTGCGAAGGAAAAAGCAGACCCAATGGTGATTTACAAATGTTTAAATTTCAAAATGAGAGCAAAGAACAGGGATATAATATGACATACATTGTACAGGAAGCATATTGATACATTTGAATGTCAAATAGTGAGAGTGCATGTTCTAGACAGAGAAGGAAGAATATAAAAGAATTAAACAGTAGAACATTCAATACTGAGAACATTTTGGCAGATGGTAGATAAAGCCAAGAATACACAGAAAACAAAAAAATTGATTTTGAATGGAATTTGTATGGTATATAAAGTTTTTTTGAGAAGTAAAATATATTTCATACAAATAGACATCATGAGTTCAGAACTATATAAGAATAATACAAAATAAGAATCAGAAGGCAATAAAGGTACTGTATTTTGAGTACATCTCACACCCTGTGGGATCAAAATCACATTGGTCAAAGAGCAGACTTTCATGTAAAGCATTTCTGGATGCCCCTGTAATTTTTCCTGTTAATCTTCAATTTAAAAAATATTCCATGTTAGAGTCGCAAAGCAAAGAGGTCAAAAACACTGAGTGAGGAGTGATTCTATATTTAACAAGAGTTCATGAATTTGTAGACCGTTGTTAAATTTTCTGGGGGAAGAAACTTCTGTTACAAAACATCTGTGTTATCTTCTGTGAGGAACTTTGTGCTGAGACAATCTGTTACAGCCATCCTTTGAATACTGCTTTACCTAGCACAGACTACTCTAATTATTTTTGAGTGAACAAGGAATGAAGAAATCATTGAATGAATAAATGAATGATGGGTAAAAATAAGTACTAATGACCTCTAAAGCCTCTTGCCATAGTAGTCTACATCTTAAATACCACTGCCATCCTTACCTTTGATCTGGTCGGAATCGGGCATCTGTCGGTGGAAGGAGATCTTTCAGTACAGGATCTAACTCATTGAGCTCAATAGCAAACCTCGTGAAGCCATAGTAGAGCTCATAGTTGGTTGGCATGGAACCTGGAATGAGGCCAATGAACCACTTTGAGAGGCAAAAGGCTTACAGAGCTGAAAGGAGCTGATTTACCCTGGTGCTTAAATACCTCACACTAATCCCAAATCTGTAGTAATAAGTACTAGATTACAAATTTTTTCATTTTCATTTTTTTTTTGTGTGTTGGAGTCTCACTCTGTCACCCAGACTGGAGTGCAGTGGCTGCTCCCGGCCACCGCATCCTCGACCTGCTGGGTTCCAGCGATCCTTCGGCCTCAGCCTTCCAAGTAGCCGGAATTACAGGCGGGCGCTACCACGCCCGGCTAATTTTTTGATTTATTGTAGAGATGAGGTCTCGCCAAGTTGCCCAGGCGGGTCTCGAACCCGTGGGCTCAGGCAATCCACTCACCTCAGCCTCCCAAGGCGTGGGATTACAGGCTGAGCCACCGAGCCCGGCTACAAATTTTTTTCAAGTGAATTAAATTGGTGATATTTTGCTAGGTGGGAAGCCTTATGTTGATGATTAGAACTGATAGATGCATGTATTTAATAAGATCTAGTCTTTCAAACAAAACTTTGCACATATAGTAGTCTTCATTGATTAAACTACTTCCATAATGTAGTCAATGAAGTCAGGATCAACATTAAGATTTTACCAGAAACACTTGTTAGTTACTTCCTTCTAGAAAAGAAAAAGATGCAGATCTAAACTGCAGATCTAAATTAGTATTTACTGGCACTTCTCAGCTAAATGCAAAGGCAGGCTCTTTGTGTGCCTTGCCCAGTGATATATCCCAAGCTCCTACAACAAAGCCTGATGCAGTTAGAACTCAATAAATAGTTGCTGAATGAGTAAACTAGCCAACCTACTATCAGGAAATTTACATACTCACTGAGGTCTCTTACAAAAGGAACAAATAATTTTAGAGTTAGGGATTAGCTGACAAAATTCCAATGAAAGTAAATGTTATGTGGAGACTTGCTCCATTTATACTTGATATTCCATTGTATGTTAATATATTACCAGAACTCTCTTGACGTCTTTTATTAAATGTCAACATATTGCAGCTTTTGCTACTCAAGTGAAAACATTGCTTATTCTGGTGAGTTACTGAATTTGCGGATTATAGATGTTTTGCAGGCTTTCCTTTGTTTTATTAAAACAGAATAAATAACATGAGTAAGGATTTAAATTTGCCTATTTCAATTATCTAAACTCTTTAATAATTACACCTAGCTTTTGGAATTTAGAGTTGACATTTAGAACAAATTCTCATGAAGCTCAATCTCTGATCACATGTCAGAGATTTGGCCTAAAATTTTAATAATCAAATATCAAAAACTGGGATATATATATATATATATCTTATGTTACAGATATAGGTGGCTGTAATTGCCTTAAGCATCTATGTTTTTAACCTATTTTATTTATTTACTTATTTATTTTCCTCAATGCTCAGCTTATGAGAAATCATCTCACTATTAAAGGAAACATAATGTGAACAGTTTGGGGTGGCTTGACATCCCCCTACCCCGCCACTTCTGCTGCTCATGGTACCCTCCTGATGAAAGACACTCAAGCCAGTCCCACCTGGTCTCCAGATGCACTTTGCTGATGGGGCCACACCACAGTAGAGTCCTTCATGCCACTTCCCAAACAGCCGGTGTACCACTTTCCCCTCCTGATCCATCACTACCCCCTGGACTTCATTCACGTTAGAATTCCAGTAATTTACCTGGAAAAACCAAACCTCAGTTAAGACACCTGAGCCCTTGAATGAACATCAATCCCTATAATTTCCATATGGAAAATTTTCATAACCCTGAAGTCCCTCATTCAGACCATTTCCAGAAACCCAGTGATCTCAAAAAAAAATTTTTTTTTTTTGAGTTGGAGTCTCACTCTGTCGCCCAGACTGGAGTGCAGTGGCCGCTCCCGGCCACCGCAGCCTCGACCCACTGGGCTCCGGCGATCCTTCCGCCTCAGCCTTCCAAGTAGCCGGAATTACAGGCACGCACTACCATGCCCAGCTGATTGTTTGATTTATTGTAGAGATGAGGTCTCGCCAAGTTGCCCAGGCGGGTCTCGAGCCCGCGGGCTCAGGCAATCCACTCAACTCAGCCTTCCAAAGGCACGGGATTACAGGCTGAGCCACCGAGCCTGGCTGTCAAAATGTCTTATATTATTTATATTTATTATTACATATAATCATATGATTATCATACTATTATTTATATTATTTCCTCATTGGCTTTCTAAATGCTAGTTACCCTAGATCTTAGGAAAAGGATGATCTCTACTCCATGCATGGAACAATAGCATAACACAGAGAAGGCTGATATATCCTAAGAACCTAATATTAGTTTATAGGTTAGTAACTTTTCCCTTCATTCCTCTTGAATTTTCCCCTTAATGTTCATTCAAGGGCTCATGGATTTTAATGAATATCAATTGACCATGCTGCAGAAATAGATTGTGAAATAATTTTCTTAGTTTCTGTAAATGGCTACATTTTATCAAGAGGACCCTGATGTGGCTCTCTTCCAACCATGTTCCTTCCTATGGGATGAGAAGTCTGTGGAAATTTGCCTACCTGGACCCCATGATACACTTCCAGATCAGGTTCAAATATGCAGGACCTTAGAATTCCCAAATGACTCTAAGCTTATTCCATAGCTGGTACAGAACTTTTATTTGAATTCATTCATCCGAGGGCAGACGACCCACCAGTGTGTGAACCTTTAGGTCCTAGGAATGGCTAAGGGTAGTTATTTGTGGGGGTGTATATAGAGTTTAGGTGCAGTGGCCGGATTGCCTACATAGTGTGTGTGAGACCCTCTACAGTGCTGAATAGAGTCAGAGGTGGGAAGAAAGCAGGGAAGGCTGTGAGCCAGGCCATCTGTCCTGCATTGTCAAGTTGCCAGCACAGAGTTCTGGAGGGTCCAACATGATTTTGCTATAAAACGTGTATTTGTCAAGGCGAAAGGATAGAACATATTTTATTTGACAGTTTGTAGGCTTGATTTACATATTTTAAATTATGACATAGGCTGTGCAAATGTGAGGGGAAGACTGCACTAACGTTTCTCATAGCTTTCAAAACCAAATGCACATATCCACTGTCATTACCCAGCCAGAGCACACAGGGATGTTGGCTTTCGAGTTCTAGCCACTTCATGAGTCTATAAGAAAAAAATAGTGAGCAACATTTTGAGCTAAAACTAAGATATTCAGTTAAAATGAACATGATCTTCCAATATGGCTTAAAAGGATCTAACCAAGAAATAAAATGTTTGATTCTTAAGATTCCAATATGTTACCTGTTTACCATTTTAGAGCGGGGTTATGAGTCAAACAAATAAGGGGGCTGGGCGGGGCTTCTGTGCTGTGTTGAATTCTGTAGCACACACAAAGAAACACGGAGGTGATACTACACATTCTACTTCAGACAAGAGAGATAGGGAAAACAGTGTTGTGTGCACATATCTATCCCAAACATCTTTTCTTGTTAACAAAGGTTATGTTTTTCATTGAACTTATTTGGATTATGTTATGATAAGGTTGCATAAGCTTGTAGTGACTGGTAGTTATCATCTATGTGGCTGCTCTCCTCAAATGTCCTCAGAAAATGACAACTGCATTATAATTTTCCCTAAAATAAGATCACTTGAATGTAATCAAGCAGAAATAGAAGTAGAAATATAAACCAGAAGACTTGGTATAGGCAAAAAGTGCTTTCTGGAATTTTACTTAATGATCTACTGACTGGCTGCTTAAAAAGAACATTCTTTGAAAAGAAATTTTGTTTTCTTCTGTTTTTAGATGGTGCCTTTTTTGACCCCTATATGTCCAGATGCCTGCATGCCTTGAGAAACTCCATCAGTTGGTCCAGCTTTCTTATCCAAAATGTCCTTTTGGATCAGTGATACAGACCTACTTGCTGCTGTTTAAGGACACTGTTCCATTTCTTCATTAGGAAGCATTTTGTACTGTTTTTTCTTCATTGTTGTATGATCATATTTACCTTGACAAATGTGAGTTTGCAAATGCAAACACTGCTTTTGGTATTTCTAATGGTTACTTCTCCATAATGCTCTATCCATCTTCTTCCACTGAGGATGTTGTGTATGCATGTGGTGACTTTATTCCACACATAGTAATCTCCATACCTAGTGACGAATACAACATTGATTAAAAACAATGAAGTCACAATTACACATTACTCTTTCTACTAATGAGAATATTCTTTGGCTAAAGTTTCCTTTTCTTTCATTTTCTTCTCATTTCTTTCTTGAAACTCTCTATGTGATCATAAATATTTATGACACGATTAACGCACTTAAGGAACATTTTAGTGCTTTCTGTGGGCCAGGTGCAAAAGCTACAAAGTTGAATAGGCCTATTTCCTGTTATTCCGGAGCCAGAAGTATGGTAGGGTACATGGATATGAAAACAAATACTTAATATATGATGGGGGCTTTAACAGATGTACGAACAAAGCATCATGGGAACACAGAAGAAGGAGTCTTCAGTTCTTAGATCTGCCTGGAACATGGACTGATTACCAAGGAAGACGTCCTAGTGAAAGCTGGGTTCAATCTAAGGTTGGATGATGAATAGGAGGGCACTAAGGGCTTGGGAAAAGCACTGACAAAGTCCAAGGTCAGAAGAGCACAAGGTTCCTGGGGCCTGTGAATGCTGTGCTCTAGGTGAATGGATGTGGTGAGGCAAGGCAGTAAAGGCAGGAGGAGGCAGAACCAGGGTCCTACCCAGGAGTCTAGAGTTACCCTGCAGGTGATGGGCTATCATGGACAAATTCCAGATAGGAGAGATGCACCATAGGGTATGCATTTAGGAAAGACCACTCTGAGAACATTGTTTCACACTCCAAGTTAAGACCAAAGATGCAAAAAATTCTTTGGGAAGAGACTGAGCAACACAATAAGGTGGCAAAAATCTAAAACAGATTTTAGGGAGTAAGGTTACAGAATTTCTGCCAAGGAATGAAATGATATAGTTTCAAGTCACAGTTAAGATTGCACATAATTTCAAATAAAAGTATTATTCAAAATAAAATAAAATGCTTCTAAATTTCTACAAAATTAAGAATTGGTATGATGTAGGCACCATATATACTTAAGAAAATTCACTTTCTTCCTCATGAATTTTCAAATATTGAAAGTTTATTTTGTGGTCCTGGGAATACCTCCCCTTCCTCCATATCTAATTCACCTGCAAATTCGGTCATCCAAATCGACAAAACCAAAACAAATCAACCAAATGAAGAAACACAATCAAGCCACTGGCTTCAATGAAAAATTCAATTAATTTTAAAAGATGTGTAGGCTATATCCTCAAGAACACAACCATGAAAAGATTCCACCACTCTTCTTGGATAAAATAACTTAGAAATGTAAAATATTTCCTGGATCTAAGATGAACTCAAAAGTGAAATTAAATTATATAGCAGAGAGATGGCTAAACAGGAGAACTTTTAATATAAAATGCAAATAAAGATGGTGACAGGGACCTGAGAGATACCTGATGTGGACTGATGAGAGGAGGATGTGAGAAGATGACTAGGAGGCTTTGATCCACATGCCTAAGTTCTCGTTTGTTTTTGTGGGGGTCCATTCTCAACACTTTGATGAAGGTAACAGAAGCTTTGGGCATACAGGGAAATAGACCCTTGGCACCTTCCAGAGTTTAAAACACACGTTAATGATTTAGAAAATAGAGAAGAGGCCAAAAGGGACTGAAGAGGCACCTACTTTGGAAGTACGACATTCAGTGTTCCCACAGGCAGGATTTCCATTGACTTCCCCCAGAACTTGTTTTTCCATCTGATATCTAAACGACATATGTAAAGGACAAGAAATACATACTCCATATCTAAACATTTGTTCTATAAAAACTAACTTTTGTATTACACTTCACAAAGCACTTTTTAAATCACAATTGGTTCCATATTGTTGATTTAATATAAGCGCCTGAAGGTGACTCAAGGTAAAAATATTAACTATGAACCAAAAAAAACCAACTATCTATATTTCTCCATAATACATGCTCCATATTTGCTTTAAACTAACAAAGCTGGGAGAAGCCTAAAAATAGTGTGTGTGTATTCACATACACATATAAACATAGACCCTACTGTGCTATAATGTCCAGACCGCAATAAATGTTGTTAAAAGTTTTAACTAAATGTTCAAAATAGTTAAACATGTCCAGCATGAGATGTATAGTAAAAATAACTGCAGTATAGCAAAACCAACGATTTATATACACATTTCCCCCACTACCTAGAAAAGTTTTATGATCTGGGAGAACAGTGAAACAAATAGTCTCTAAATACAGATACATAAGATGTATGAGAAAGTGGAATTAACTCAGTGAACATGTTACTACACTGGGTGTTAAGATATAGCCCAGGGCCCAGCACTTTATGTCACGCTATGACTTTATGCTTTTTTCCTGGAAACTCAGCTTTGCCTGTGTATTTGTAACGACCACCTGGTCCATTTTGATGAACTAAGGGAGCTTAGTGCTATCTCCACAAAATTTCTAACCCTTGGTTATGATGAAGAAATGATTTACTGTCTTTTTTTTGCAATAAAGTGCTGTTAAAACACTATCATTTTGTGTATTTTCAGATTAAGGAAATGCTCATGAGAAAAGTCATTCTGTGAGCAATGAAGCACCTTTATAAACATGAAGGATCTATTTACACTTAACGGCCAAACTCACTTATATATTATTTTCTTTCCAAAGGGGTTTTTATAACTTTTTATTTTAGGCAAGCTTTTAAAAATAAGTAAAGACTTCAATCCAATGAGGTAAAGACTAGGAATTCCTGCATGTTTGTATATCTACTTAGACTATGGCCACAGATGATGTGCCACAGAGCGCTCCTTCAGGATTATAATGTCCTTGCACAGTCCCAAGAAGCAAGAAGGCAGCAGATGGAACCTCCATGTTATAGATGCAGACCATGAGGCACAGAAGACAAGGTGGTGGCTCTGAGTTGGCACTGTTTGTGTGGAGCTCTGCTATTCCAGAAGGCATTGCTTCCCAGATAAGCAGTCTCATCTCCTCCATGACACAGTTTCATATTTAAACCAGGACACTTAATTTCTCAAACCAAACTCGACACCAATTACCAATATTCTCTGAGATGCAAAGGAAGAAATGTGAACTGAGTACAATGCCCCTTTGGAAGCCAGACACTTTTTTCATAGGCTCATAAATTTGATTTTAAATTGTAACTGAAATACAAACCTTGCCAAAACACAAAATTCTTTGATTCACAGTGGCAGGCAGAAATGGGGGGATGATGGCTAACCTAGTTTTAGAAACAAAAACAAGGCAATAATATATCAGTGTTTAAACTTCCAAATAATAATTATTTTACAATGTATATTAGTCACCCCCAAAACTATAGTTCATCCATTTTATTAGCGAATTATTCCCAAAATGTATAAGTAAAACTTTTGAGACTTCATGCTTAAAAACACAGAGAACTTACACAAGTTAGAGGAGCAATGATGCTAAGTGAAGTGAGCTTTCTATTAACTGGTACCATAACCCATCCATAAACAGGGAATTATTAAAAGGCTGTTTTCATCACCAAACTGCCCTCCTACCTGTACAGAACTTCACTGAGTCCAGTGGCACTTACCTGTTCTGAGAAAAATCGGAATCCCTTGTCTTCTCGAATGCATTCATAAGTCTCGCCAAGGACTGGGTTGAATGGCTTACTTCCTGCTCTGAAATAGGTGGAGCAATATCCTGAAACTGCAAATGCAGCAACGAGAACCTGTTAAAACATTGAAGAAAGGAAAATAATATAGGAGAGACAACTGCTAGACTTGTTTGTCCCTTATTCCTCTAGATTTCACATAGCTCACATTGATGGATGATTTGAAGGCATTTACATTTTGTAGCATTTGCACAGAATCTTCATCAACTCGTGGGGAAAAAAATAAGTAAACTGAGAAAAAATTACTTGCACAGGAACCAGCAGCCCATTGAGGTCAAGGGGTCTTCATCCAATTTCATGAGTACCACAGAGGTCAAATGTTCGAGAACTCAATTTACAGGCTATGCCATGTGCATGTTCTTAGGCTCACGTGCAGGAGGATTGTGGTTGTGGGTGCTCTGCAGAGGGCAGGGCATGTTTTCCATAGTCTTATGGAGTAAACGGCAAAGTACAAACAGAAGTTATTTTCTCAGATCTAACTTCCTGAACAGATGGGCTACCTTGGCATTGCTGATAAAACGAGGTAGGGCATGACCTCAACCTCTAAGGAGTATGATACCTTTACATCCTATCTTTACAAACACTCTAGATCAAGGATAAATCACAAAATGTGTATCTTCTAGTGAAGGCATCTGGGACTTTTTGGCCCTGCCTTATTTAATGAAAATAGACTGATCTCTGTGTTACCTATGCAGTGAGAATGCTATTTAAAAACCAAATCTATTGTCATGGTAAACCCTGTCTTAGTCCAAGTCTAGTCTACTTGGTTGACATATCTCTGAAGGGCACTGCTCTGCTGTTTCTTACCATGCGCTCATATGGATTATCGGTTTCTGAAGCCTTGTCCAGAAGCTCGCTGTATTCAATTTCCTCGCAGAGATGCTGCAGAGTGTTGAGTGGCTCGTTTAGCTCCACTGGCATGGAGACTTTAGATAGATCTTTTCCAATGTTGTTCCTCAAGATATTCCACAGGTTAATGTTACTGGTGTCAGGACAAGGAGCTGGCAGACATGTTCGACGCCCATTTCGGAAGGCCCCTCCTGTAAGTTCTCCATTCAGTACTGGAAGAGGGAGAATCACATTGAAAGATACCGTGCTTTCTTGGTTTCACAAAATCAAGAAGGGAAATAACTTTAAAATGATTCTGAATGTGATACATTTCATGAGCCTCATTATACTTGAGAGTAAATGGAATTATTTAATACAGCGTTGCTAACAAATGCACAAAACATCAGTGTATAGTTTTTTTAAAAAAAATAAGGTGTTAAATATACTTAAATACTATTCCAGAAAAGACAAGTACAATTTTAAAGCTTAAACACATTTAATAAGAAGAACTCAAACTACTGATTTGAGCAAGAGGTAAAACTTGTTCACTTAACCATTTACCTCCCAGATTTTTCAACCATTTATCCCAACATATAGAAAATAAAATGTACTGAATGGTCAGCTGCAAAAAGAGCAATTAATGAGGGCACAAATGCCTGTTCATTATGTCACTAGTGTTGTAATTTGGCATGTAGATAGAACAACCTGGGAGCTCAAATGATGCATACTTTGCCGAGAAATATTGTCTGCAACACTGGTGTTGTCTTCAGATATATTATCACTGACATCACTGATGTAAGACTCATCATCTGAAGCCTAGGAAAGAGAAGAACACGGAAGAAACAGAATTCTTATCCGATCTTGAATGCTTAAATAATCAAATGATAAAAAAACAAAAGACTGCTCCAATGAGGAGCAGAGGTCATAGTGGGAAATGTATTTGGTATTGTGCAACTAACACTTGTGGGCCTTCTGCAAGCTAGGATATAGGATTTATAAGAAGGAGCCCTGGTCTTTAAGTAGTTCCCTGTCTTAGTTGGGGCAGGAGGCTGGGGAGACCAGTACACAACCAGAAATATTTCAGTATGATGCACTAAGAATATGCCTAAAAGAAGACCCTATGTCTCTAGCTCCAGGACTCAGGAGAGGTTGCCCAAGGGAAATGATATTTGAACTGGCTATTGCAAATGAATTGAAGTTGCAGGGAGAAGTGAGGGTGCAAAGGCAAGGACCATGAAAGAAACACTGATCCTGGGACTGTGAAGAAGTTGAGTGTGGTTATGACAGAAGATGGAAAAAACAAGAGAATCTCACTGTAAAGAGTTTTTCAGACCAACATAAATGCTTTACATACAATCCTATGTGTTAGCAAAACCAGCAAAAATGTAAGGGAATGCTAGAGTCAGATTTAGCTTTCTGGAAGTTACCTGGTAGCTTCCCTTAAGGAGGCCAGAAGCTAGAGATACTGCATAGTTCTGGGTAAGAAATGCTGACAGCTTAGATTTAGATAGCAGCAGTGAGGCTGGGGAGAGATCAAGAATTAAGCCACATTCCGCATGAAAACATGTAGAATGAAAACGAAACCAAATTGAGTATAAAAGAGTGGATGCAGTGGCTCCCGCCTGCAACCCCAGCAACTTAAGAAGCTGAGACGGGAGGACTGCTTGAACCCAGGAGCTTGCGAGCAGCTTAGGCAACATAGTGAGACCTTGTTTCGACAGCAATAAAATTTTAAAAATTAGCCAGGCATGGTATTGTGCATCTGACATCCCAGCTACTTGGGGAGCTAAGGTGGAAGGATTGCCTGAGCCTAGAAGGTTGAGGCTGTGATGAGTCGTGAATGGTGTCACCACACTACAGTCTGGGTGACAGAGTGAGACACTTACTCAAAAACCAATATAAATCAAACATAAAATTAAGGAATAATGTACATATTAAAGGGAGTTAAAGCAGATAAGAAAAAAGGAATAAGAGAGAATCATCAGAGGAATGAGAAAACCAAAATCAATGTCTTACTGTGAGCAAGAAAGCTATTGATACTTATTTACCTTCTCCAAAATTGAAATAGAGCTATGTTTTTGTCTGAACATGAAAGTAAAACATTCTTATTATAAAAAATGAGATGGCTCAGCCTGTAATCCCGCGCCTTTGGGAGGCTGAGGTGAGTGGATTGCATGAGTCTGCGGGTTCGAGACCCGCCTGGGCAGCGAGACCTCATCTCTACAATAAATCAAAAAATCAGCGGGGCGTGGTAGCGCATGCCTGTAATTCCGGCTACTCGGAAGGCTGAGGCGGAAGGATCACCAGAGCCCAGCAGGTCGAGGCTGCGGTGGCCGGGAGCGGCCACTGCACTCCAGTCTGGACGACAGAGTGAGACTCCAACTCAAAAAAAAAAAATGAGAAATTACATGAGGGTAAAAGACGAGCATAAAAATCACCCATAATTCAGTTTTTTAAAGGAAACCACTTACGCATTACTCCTTATTTTCAAAATGACTATACAAACATATTGACATAGCTATCTTTAGATATTGAAAAAGGAGATAGGTTTACATATTGTTTTATAACATTCTGAATACATTTCCATCATAGTGCTTTATCTTTATTGGGAAAGGCAACATATTTTATTATATAGCTATAACAAGAAATTTAACCAGCAGTTAGGTGATTTCCAACTTTTTACTATTATAGACAATATTTGGATGAACACTTTCATAAATATATTTTTGTGAATCTGCATGGTGATTTTATTAAAATTTATTCATTTTGAGGCTTTAGTCACGTGTTGCCAACTTGCTCTCCTGAGAGACTGCATTAATTTGTTCTCACCAGTGGCATATGGGAACATACCCCATCCATATCCACTTAAATACTATACATTATCAATCTTTTTTAGTATCTATCTACCTAATATACATAGAAGATTGCCTTCAAGTTTGAATTTTGTTCTTTGTGGATTCATTTTCTTATCTTTCACACATGTTTCAGTTCATCATATATATTGCTATTTTTCCTACCTTGGAATTTATTTCTTAACTTTGTTTATGCAAAATTTTTTGCTATGTAAAACGTTTAAATTTGTATGTAATAAAAACACTTGCCTTTTGCCTTTAAGATTTCTAGATTTATTGCTAATGTTTTTTAAAAATTAGGGTTGAGCAGAGTTCATATACTTAGGGAGAATAGAGTGATAGACAAAACTGCATGCATGGGTTAATAATGGTAGCTTTGCTTTTCCACACAGAGGTAAGTCTATATAGATGACAAATTGAGAACAAAATCTTCTGATTCATATTTTCCCACCACCACTGCTTCCCACAGTTCCTGTTGACTGCAACCGAGTTGAAGGTTAAACCATCAGACTCCTGGGAAGCTAACTTCTTCGGCTTGATAGAGAATTAAGTAAATCAAACACTTCCATGTGATTTCTCTTTAAAAAGCTAATCATACTCAATTATGTTTGAGGAGGCAAATGCCTACTCAAACCAAATTCATATTGTATGCATGTTTATTGTTTGAATGCTTGCTAAGAAGACACTCACGTTTATCCTATAAACAGTCTATTCCTCTTCAATTTCTAATCTCTCCCAAACTAATATGTTAGGGAAACTAATATGTTACATATCACTGATGTAAAAGAATTCTACAAGGGCAGAAGGCCCGGAGTGAGAGGTGTACATGTCATGTGTGTGTGCAGTAATTAAGGCTGAGCTGTCCTACTGTGGTCCATTCATGCCACCCTGCCCACAGAGCCAAGGTTCTGTAGTATTACAGTAAAAGTTTGTCTTCTTCTCCAGCGTCAAGAAGTTCTGGAGCCATATATTCTCTTTACAAACTCAGGGATTCAAAAGAGGTCAGAAAGTATGTATTTTCCAAACATAACCAGACATGTAGCATTGTAGAAACAACTTTAAAAGCAGAGGCAAGGCAAGTAGATCATTCTGGAAGCAAGAACATCTTTTAAAAGAGCCAAGGATTCACGAAGTAAAACACATCAATAGATAACACAGAAAGTGGATTTTTCCCTCAATCATGGAAAATGTAAATGCAAGACAGCTGATGCCCAGATGTTTCTCAGAATAATTATGTGTTAATGTGCTATAAGCACTCCTTCCTTTATTCACTTAGCAAGTATTTATTGAGTACTTGCTGTGGGCTCACCAGAACTGTTCTAGCACTGTGGTTAAATCTCTGTGTTCAGCCGGGCATGGTAGTGCATGCCTATAATTCCGGCTACTCGGAAGGCTGAGGCGGAAGGATCGCCGGAGCCCAGCAGGTCGAGACTGCAGTGGCCGGGAGCGACGACTGCACTCCAGTCTGGGCGACAGAGTGAGACTTCAACTCAAAAAAAAAAAAAATCTCTGTGTTTATGAAACTTATATTCTAGTGTGGAAGACACACAGCAAATGAATCAAATACATGAAATATTTATTTTGTGAGATGTTAAGTGTGAAAGAAAAAAATTAGGAGGAAAGAGGGATATAAGGTCAGAGGAAAGGAGCAAATGGGAACTCTAAAATGCAGTTGGGCAACCAGTGTAGACTTTGCTGGAAGGTGACTGTAAGGGACTAGAGTGAGTGAGGAAGATGAAGGTGTGCATTTTTGGAAGAAGTGTGCATTTTTGGAAGAAGAGTGGATGGCAAGCACAGAGGCCCACTCTCCTTTGGCAGCTGTAGTGCAAAATATGCAGCTTAAGACTATCTCACAGCTGCTGCTAGGGTTCACATGCACACAGTCAACTCATCAGGTGGGTCTGCCAAGTGTGAAGATTCAAGGGGCCTCAGAGACTTAGAGTTTCACCACAAGGACTCAGGCAGATGAGGTTGACCCAGTAACCAATCGTTAGCTGAAGGGGAGGAGCTACTCTGAGAACATCAGGGTATCTGTCATTTGGATTTAACTTCTGGTTTAGTCCCTGCAAATACTTAAGACCGAATGTTGTGATAAAGGGAGAGATGTAAGCAAAAACAGTTATTTTATGAAAACCTGTAAGATACGGGACACAAAAAATAGGTGTGCAGTTCAGTTCTTTCCATTGTGGGTTGTAAGAGTCACTCTCCTTGCAACAGCAAGGGACATAGGTGTCTTTAGCAAGCATACAACTCCAGGAATTACTACTCCTTTGGCTGCGAGAAGGCTCCAAAAGAACAGAGGTGGCATGAGGCTGCAGTAGAGCAGGGGTCGGATTACAAAGGTCTTGGTTTTAATAGTTAAGGAGCTTAGACTGTTATCCTGAGGACACCGAGGAATAGGAACATGATCAGATTTGCCTTTTAGAAAGAGTCATCAGGTAGCCCAGTGGAAAATGAATTGAAGGAGACAAGAAGAGAGGTGGGTAAGACAGGGTGACCTATGTGTGGAGAAGATGGGGACTGGATTAGAACAGTGGCAGTGAAGCTGCAGAATAATGTACAGAAATTGCAGGACAATGTATGGCTCCAAGAGTATTTAGGCGATAGAAGCTACAGAACTTGATAAGTGAATCAAAGTGGGTGGTTGTAAAGGAAGAGGAGTGCAGGAAAATACCAAAGCATCTGATGTGAACACTGAGGTAGAAGAGCACTTTAACAGGCAATATGAAAAATATGGGAAGGCTGAGTTTTTCCCCTGGGGATGGGGCTGGTGTGTACGAGCTTAACTCTTTCCTAGACATGCTGAATTAGTTTCTGTGAGCACCAGGTGGCAATGTCTGACAGGTAGCTGGTTGTGTGGATTCTGAGTTGACTCTCTCTCTAGACTTGCTCTGTCTTTGAGTTTTAGACTTGTATATTTAAATGCCTGACAAAGCCGGGCTCGGTGGCTCAGCCTGTAATCCTGCGCCTTGGGAGGCTGAGGTGAGTGAATTGCCTGAGCCCGCGGGTTGGAGACCTACCTGGGCAACTTGGTGAGACCTTATCTCTACAATAAATCAAAAATTAGCCAGACGTGTTAGCACACGCCTGTAGTTCCAGCTACTTGGAAGGCTGAGGTCTAAGGATCGCCGGAGCCCCGCAGGTCGAGGCTGCAGTGGCCGAGAGCGGCCACTGCACTCCAGTCTGGGCGACAGAGTGACACTCCAACTCAAAAAATAAATTAAAAAAAAGTCTGACAGGTAACTCCACTGAAAGATCATGATGCCTCAGAGTGTCCTCTACCTCCTCATCCCTCTTGCTGCCACTGGACTTGTTCCCTTCCCCATACCTACCCTGAAGGTGGCACCACCATCTTGCTTGGACTTGTACAATAACCCACTCACATCCTCTTCATTTCTATATGCCCATTGTTTAGGGCAACTAGTACCTTGGGATACAGGTAACTGTGTCCCAAAGACTTGGAAACAGCTCTCAGAGAGATAAGCTATAAAGTTATCAAGTGATAGATCAGAGTTCAGAAAATGAGCAGCCAAGTTTGACTATCCTGATTGAAGAAGGATGGAAGACTGGTCAGAACGAGAGCTCAGAAGGCCTAGACAGAAAAGGAAATTCTGGTAGCATGTCCACAGCCTGGTGGTCCCTGGGGATGCAGGGTGACAGACACAGTTACCCAATCTGTGTGGCAAAGTATCCCTGTGGTGGCGAGGGAGTGTGGAGCTACAACATCCTGGCCCTCCTAGCCTTAAGTTCACTCAACTCATTTCTTCTGCTCCCTATTTCTTGCTCACCAGGCAACCTCCCGACTAGAATTAGAATTAGCCTTGTCAAGCAGATTTGCTTATGGGGAAAGAGGTACTAATCAGCAAGCATGATTACTTTGTCCATCTGACAGTATCAGTTACCATCACAGATAACTAAACTAGCATTCCAGCCTGTGAACAGGAGTCTCTGCGAAACCATTAATGCACGCCTCGGGATATGAGTGGCAGGTGCATGCCTTGGTATGTGGACAAGATGCAAGAAACTTGATTTTACTTTTCTCACATTATAAAAGTGATATGTGTTCATTCTTTCTTTCTCATTTCCACTTTCTCTTTGTTCCTAAAATCGTCCACAATTTCAAACATTCAAAAACAACTACTACTAATTGTCAGGATGCTTCTTTCCAATCTATTTTCTATGCATATGGAAATCACATTTAGCAACCATTTCTTTTTTGTGAAAATGCAGTACAGACTTGTAATCCCAAATGACAAAATTCCTCAGCTGTGTGGGAAAGAGTTTTGGCTACTTTCCTCATGCAATAAATAAATAAATATGTACATATGTATACACATACTTGACTAACTTGTAGTAGAAAAACTAACTTCTGCAACCTGACCAAGGAAGAGCTTTCCTGTTTCCAAGATCTTGCCAAGACTCATGAACATGAAGTGCAATCCAATAAAGTTTTTATGATAGCCAGTGGTTAACCTCAAAAAACATAAAATTACTCAACTAGATATGTGCTAGACATTATCCTTCTAAGCTCAAACTCATATCCCTGGCAAAAATATATAATATGTATGAGACTGTATAAGTGCAAGAATGGTGATCTTCTCATCTTCCCATTCTTTCTATATTTTTTAGCTAGTCTCCTCCTGTAAAGAATTCTGTCATAAACTATTTGGTTACTCTAAAATAGGAATTGTAGAAGACAGTCAGAATAAATGTTGGCTCTTTTCCTTAATTCAACAAATTTAAATTCTTGTGCTTAGCAGTGTTAAGTGCTTGGTACATGGAAATTGATATAGGTTCCATGCTTTGGGCTTTGCTACAATTTGGGCATCTTCCTATGATATAAGCAAACAAACAAACAAAAACAACAGCCAAAAAATTCCACAGTGTTACTTTCTTTTTTTTTGAGTTGGAGTCTCACTCTGTCGCCCAGACAGGAGTGCAGTGGCCGCTCCCGGCCTTCCGAGTAGCTGGAACTACAGGTGCACGCTACCACGCCTGGCTAATTTTTTTGATTTTGTAGAGATGAGGTCTTACCAAGTTGCCCAGGCGGGTCTCAAACCCGCGGTCTCAGGCAATCCAGTCACCTCAGCCTCCGAAGGCACGGGATTACAGGCTGAGCCACCAAGCCCATCAGTGTTAATTTCCTTAACCTAAACTCCCAGTCATGAGCAGTTGAAGCTGATAGGTCAAGAAAGTGTACCTCATTCTCAGATGAACTTGCAGAGAGAAGCACCTCTTGGGCATCAAAGAACTCAGAAACAGACTCTGACATGGAGAGGCGGCTCTCGTTAGCTACTTGCTGTGACAGGGGGAGACTGACATGGATCTGCTCACCAGCCTGCAGAAGAGAGAAGCATATGGTATAATCATTTTTTTCCCTCTGTAAATCAGCTATTGCTTCAGATAAGCCAGAGCTCTACTTTACAATACTGTGTTAAAAAAACAGTGACCACAAGTAATTTTCCCTTGCTGCTCAGTAATAACTACCGCATAAGTGTCCTCCTACAATGTCTAAAGACTCCAAAAGGTAAAGTTAAAAGGTGTTGGCATCGTGTCTTGATGCTCAACTAACATTAAGTGGAATTTAACAAGTTAAGTCCTTATTAATACCCTGACTTGACTGTAGGGACAAGTTCATTCTCTTATTCTTAGGCCTGTCATTTCAAGGCATATTCTAACCAGTATACTAAACCTCAAGAAGTTTTGCAGAAACTACTAGAGACATGCAAAGAAAAAAATCTATAAGACTAATTTTTGAGACAGAATATATAAAAGTCTTTTTCAATTTGATCATGCATTTTAACCAATGAAACACATGGTTAGAGTACTAAATCTTATTTCAAATTGTATTTTTATTCAAGAAGTGATAAATATCGTTTTCAAAGAAGCTATTTACGTTTCAATCCAAAAAATATATAAGAGAACTAGAATATAGATATTCTAGTGCACATTTCAGATGAGAAGAAGATTCCAAATGAGATTATTAAATAATTTTTGAATGAAAAATTTTAGTAATACTTCCAGATTTTGGGCAATTGAGTGAATAAAAGTGTTATCAGAGAACACGAGGCCTGTGGAATTGAATTAACATAGGATGGGCAACTTAAGTCAAAGACAGACTGTCTTGGGATAATATTTCCTAAGCAGTTAGAACACTTGTACCTGTAGATTTCTAATAAAATATGTTTTTAATAACAAATATGATTTACTATTAGACGTCTCACCTTAGTATATTTATCACTGCATATAAAGCTCCAACATTACTGTTGTAAAGTGTAAGTTCTCATGCTATAAAATAATAATTTTATAAGGGGTCATAAACAGAATCACACAATTAAGATTAGCTCAAATACTGAATGTTCTCCTATTCTGTTACCATTTTCTTGAATCTGAAAAATGGAATAGTAACACCTACCTCAAAGGGTTGTTGAGATGTCAAATGAGATAACATATGCAAAGTGGTCAACACAACACCTAGCACATAGTCAGTATTCACTTGACACATGTTAGCTATTAATTACTATCAGCAGCAGTAGCTATAGTAAGACCATTAGTATTAGCAAGGTTTGGTGACTTCTCAAACAAACCTGAGGAGACTTTTTAAAATTTTATAGACATAAAAGCTTTATTTGTAATCTAATATTTTTATTTTGTAACTTCTCAGCTAAAAAATACTTTTTTCCAGCAGTCCTTTGACCATTTGATGATAATGGGCATTTCAAATGAAGAATGAGAGATACAGAAAATTAACAAGCTGGAGTAGATATATAAATTAAATATTCAATGGCATCAGGTGAACATAGGAATAAATAAAGACACATCACTAAGAACACCAAGAACAAATGATGTCAAACTCGTACATCCTTCACTTCAAAGAACACTGAACTGTCAGCAATACAAAAATTTATGAATGGAGTCATAGTCACAGTAAAGAAGCTATATAAAAATAAACAAAAATATGCAGTAGATTTAGATGCTATAAAATAGGTACTCTACATCTATTAAGAATGAGTCTTACCTCATCAGGGCTAGGAATAATATTTACACTGACAACCTGATCACAAATAATAGATTCTGAATGTATTCGGTTCAGTCGACTCCTTAGTTCAGCATTCTGGTTGAGTGCCTTAAAATAACAAAAACCGCATATGTAATTTCAAATTAATAGGCAAGCATAAAACAGAAAAAGAACCCAGGTATGATTTAGACAACAATGTCTGTGATGTCCTTAGCTCTAACTTTTGTATTCATCATGAGCCAGATCTTACCAGTAAGAAGGAAATAAATGACTCAAAATTAAGATATTAATTTTTTGTAGTATGAGATCACTACTTTGTAGGCTAGTGGGCTGAGAGAGTTAAAGCATTTATAAAAATCATTCATGAAGTTTTTTCTCCTTTATAGTGAGCGTTTACACCCAAGCCCAGTCTACCACTACATATATATTACTTTTTGCAGCCTGGGAAGAACACTATTGATTCTGTCAATTTTTTGTTCAAGTTTCTAGAGTTTGAGAGTTGCTTCACAGTCAGATAGTTATCTTAAAAACGACTTGGAAATGGAATGAATAATGAACTGGCTTTAGTTTACAAAATGATATCTTTGGTTAAGAAAACAGCTGTATTTTCATTTTGTAGGAGCACATAATTAATGCATATGACAGTGCAGCAGAACTAACTAGGTATAGAAACTAACTCAAGTGCAGACAAAACGATGCCTTCACTGAACAATGCAGACAATGAAAACCACAATAAAGAACAGAACCCTGCCAGTAAACCAACTCCAAGGTCTCTACATCACACTGCTTCCAACATACCTTAAGTTAGCATCAGTAAAATGCTACTTGCTATAACTCAGTTTGGTACATGGAGCAACTACATTTATTACAAGAAGACAACAGCTTTACATAAGCATATCCTCCCTACTGGGATCCCATGAACAAAGGTTCAGAGTATCCTCTGGGAACACATATCACATTGATGCACAGAAATATGCTTCATTTACATAATACAGATGTATCTAACTGTAATTATATCAAACAGTGAGAAGATGGACAACTTCCTTTCCCTCTCATTAAAATCAGCAATTAGAAGATGGAGGTAGATGTTTTCGAGTAGAAGAGAAATGTCAGGGCTTAGTAAAGAAGGCATCTGTCCCAGGGAATAGGCATTCTGCTTCATTCAGAGTCAATGAATACAGTAAACTTATACATCTACAAATACAAAGTGGCTAAACTCTCCACTTGCACTGAGCAGGGCATAATCCTTGAGCATGGAACATAGAACAGACTCTCCTTTCTGCTTCCTGGTTCTCACTTCTTCCCTTCCTTCAAAGCATCTTTTGCTTTTTTGAGGTCAGAATTGTTCATTCTCAGCTTCTGGCTTTTATTTAAAGCCTTTAGAACTAGTTTGTAAAGTACATCAAATCATACACTTGAACTGGTGGGCTGTCAAGTATTGACAGATTAAACGTAGATATAGATCCTAGAGTCATTGCATTTTGGGATAGGAGGCAATAAGTCTCTGGCTATCTGAGAAAACAGGGATGTGTTAGGGAAAAAAGGGTGATAATGTTCTTAGTGAATAAACCATGGGCTTCAAAGGAAGAATTCTAATACATTTTAATCTTGCAAAAGTGTTCAGGATATTTTTCCTTGGAGCAAAATTTCAAACACTCAGGATTTGAAAAAAAAATTTTTTTACTCTTGTCCTTTGTGATAACTATAGACATGCTGATTTGTTCTTTAATATTTATCTGCCTACAAATGTGTGGAAAGTCATCTCAGTTATTGAAATATTTTTTTTTTTTTTTGAGTTGGAGTCTCACTCTGTCAGCCAGACTGTAGTGCAGTGGCCGCTCCTGACCACCGCAGCCTCGACCTGCTGGGCTCCGGCTATCCTTCCACCTCAGCCTTCCGAGTAGCTGGAATTACAGGCGTGAGCTACCACATCCAGCTGATTTTTTGATTTATTGTAGAGATGAGGTCTCGCTGCCCAGGCGGATCTCGAACCCGCGGGCTCAGGCAATCCACTCACCTCAGCCTCCCAAAGGCGTGGGATTACAGGCTGAGCCACCGAGCCTGGCTAGTTATTGAAGTATTTAAGACCAGATATTATTTTGAGGCCATGTAAGTGCAAAGCCTCAGATTAAGTTGTTCGATAATTTTAATCAAATAGGATCACAGTCTAGAGCTGAGGGTCTTATACAAACCTCAACGAATGGTTCCTTCAAAGTGGTTACACCTTCTGTTGCCATTGGAAAAGTGTTAGTAAAATGGCCCCACAAAAATTCAAGGGCAAGGATAAGTAATGGTTTTTTTCAGGTTGGAAATGTTAAACACAAGTTTGTCACTTATAAGAAAAGTTTTAGAATTGTTTGCTCTGAGCATTTAAAAAAATTAAATTCTCATTTAAGCTCTCATCTCATCCCACACTCATTAAATGTGATACTGTCTACAGGGGTGTGTGAAGGAAACACAAGATAACCTCTACCCCAGGGGTGTCCAAACTTTTGACTGTGAGTAAACAGGAATTGTCTTGGGCTGCACATATATTACATAATATAGTTAGTGTACATACATAATAAGACTTCTCAAGGTGAGAAGAAATATTTCTGCTTGTCAGAAATGTTTGTTTTGTTTGTTTGTTTGTTTTTGGGTTGGAGTCTCACTCTGTCGCCTCGACCTGCTGGGCTCCGGCGATCCTTCCGCCCCAGCCTTCCAAGTAGCTGGAACTACAGGCGTGTGCTACCACACCCGGCTCATTTTTTGATTTATTGTAGAGATGAGGTCTCGCCAAGTTGCCCGGGTGGGTCTCGAACCCGCGGGCTCAGGCACTCCACTCACCTCAGCCTCCCAAAGCACGGGATTAGAGGCTGAGCCACCGAGCCCGGCTAGAAATGTTTGTTTTAACATGATGTTGTGGGACTTCAAGCAGCCTGTGGGCTACAGGCTTGATATGCCTGCTCCAGCCATTATATAGGATATGAATTGCATAATTTATTCATTTTCTTAGATGTGATGTGAAAAATAAAAATTCTGTCCTGGGAGTCCTTAGAAGATCAGATTCTCTTGATCTCTGGGCTAAGTGTTATTGACCAAGTTAATTAACCTTTCTGGGCCTCAATTTTGTCAAATGAGAAAAAAAGAGTTGTATGTATGTGTGTGTGTATGTATGTATGCATTTACTTATTATTTTTTTGAGACGGGGTCACACTCAAAAAGTGGCCCAGGCTGGAGTACAGTGGTGTGATAATAACTCACTGCAGCTTTGACCTCCTGAGCTCAAGTGATCCTCCTATCTCCTGAGTAGCTGGGATTACAGTCGTGTGCTACCATGCTCAGTTAATTTTTTTTTTTTTAATAGAGATGGGGTCTCACTGTGTTGCCCAGGCTGGTCTCAAACTCCTGGGCTGAAGGGATCCTCCTGCTTCAAATTCCCAAAGTGTTTGGATTACAGACATGAGCCACTGTGCCTAGCCAGAGAATTGTATTTTGATTGACTTTAAATTCTCTTTCAAGTTTGTTTGAAACACTAAGTGAGAATCTTGCACAGTGATCTTGGTTATCATTATGAAGATCAGCTACCATCCAGAATACTGTAAAAATAATTCTGGTTTTGGGGATTTTCTAATGTTTACATTATGGTTAATGGGAATTTTCTATACTACCTGGACTGAACATCAGCATTTGGCTCTCTAATAAGAACATAATAAAAATAATTTTATATTCTCTGCAAAGTTTACTTTGGCATTCACTGGGATGGTCTGGAAAGAGATAATCTGCCTACACATTTGTAGGCAGATAAATATGGAAGAACAAATCAGCATGTCTATAGTTATCACAAAGGACAAGAGTTATTACTTAATTCTCTTATTGTTGAAACCCTTTTCTCTCCTCAACTGGTGGCAAAAAGAGTAGCATGAGGAAAAAAGAGAGGTTTTGGTTATTAAGATGAAGAATAGAAGAATTCTTATTCTTTATTATTTTCATTTTCATTTTTTTCAAACTTCAAAACTAATTTTTTAAAAATGATTGCTAATACATAGAACCAAGAATCTGTCTTTACCACTACTGGCAAAGAATTACAATTTACTGCCAAAATATTATTATTGTTCCAAAAGAAAACAGTTCAGTTCTATTCTTAAGTAAATGACAGTGCATTTTACTAGCTTTTATTTAATCAACTTCATTTTCATTAATAATATATATGCAGTGGTAGAAAAAGGTCATTGTTACATAGCACAGAAAGCATGGAAATCCAGACTGTTCCAACTCTGGCGACCCCAGTGGTGGAAAGTGTAAGCCGGGCTGAGCATGCAATGGCCCATTTTAGCACACCTTCCCCAGGCTGGCTCCTCCTTTTGCCTTGACCATATTTTTTGAAGTTTGCTCCAAGCATGTGCCACAAGCTTTGTGATGTGGTACTCTCAGCTAGTGCTCAGAACCACATTTATTATTTCCCTCCCTAAATTCAATGATTACCTTGGGAACATGGAGGAATAATGATACTGTCAGGGAAATGATGCTCTTAGTGAAAATTAACACAAAAGTGCTCAGAAGTTGGTAGAAATAATGAAGGGAATGCACTAGAGAAGAGTGACCAATGATGTAGCAAGGAAAAAGGAGGCAGATCACAAGCCCCTTGTGCCAGCCAATGTGCAAGAAAAGCTATGGTGACTGTCAGCAATCATATAGTTCTATTAGTGGCAAATAGGATCAAAGGCCTAACAGGAAGAAGCACCTTGATGCTAGGAACTGGGCCTAGATTCTGCACTAAGTTAGGTCTTATGTATATTCTTGCTATTTGCTTTAGGGAGCTTGGACTTCACTAAAGGCGCTCCACAATGCACACTCATTTCCCCATGCCTTGCGTTCTTCAGACAAATTCAAGTCTAACATGCCAAGAAACACAATTCCTTCCCAGTCTACAAAAGGAGTTAATGACCTGATCTAGAATCAATGACCTAAATCCCCATTCCTTAGCTATGAACTATCATTCCTCAACCCTGGCAGACGATTCCCAGGTAAGGATTTACCTTAGACTGGGTAAGACTCTGGCATAAACATTTTACTAAACGGAACTGTGGATTCTGGGAGGGAAACATGAATGTCTAGTAGCTGGAGAA